GTCTACTAAAATCGGCTTGTCAATAAAGACCTGGTTTATGTACTTGTTACATAAATAGCTATTATGGTACCCTTTAATCGAACGTCTTTCCCATCTTTAATTTGTGACACTTCGACTGTGCCCTCTAAAATATAATAAAAAATCAATTGTCAACAAAGTTAAATGCGTATTAGGCTGCATCAAATGTCTCCAAAATATTTATACAGTGCATCTTTTTTAAAAGTGGCCATAGGGATTCCCATGTTAAATTTTATACCCTATGTTAACTTATGTTTGAGTAAAGATTCAGAGCTGAAATTTTTACTGGATGTAACTTGGGTTATCTTTTGTCGATTTCATTAAAAATCATGTTTTAAATTAAAGGATATTTCTTTGAAAAAATTAAAAGATTAGTATATGTTTGTCGCTAATATTGTAGGCAGCCATGTAAAAACAGACATTTACCTGACGTTTCTAAACTTGATTACTCGTTCAATTACTGGTTTTCAGTAACCGAAATTCGTCAACATGCCGCAGTACACAATTAAAGAAAAAGTAGAAATGGTCACTGATGGATACATTAAAGCCTTATCGATAACAGAGAAACTCCGCAAAATTTTGCTGCAGCATTTCCACATCGTTCCATATCCAGCAAGAGCACATTTTGAAAATTTTGTGGCAGATTTATAAACACAGGTTTTTTCGATCTTTGGCATTAAAAACGCAATTTCAGTGAAATTATCTTTTATTATCTTCATTTATGTTTGAATTCCATCATTCTGTGTCTTTTCTAAAAACTGCACTTAAGCCTAGGTATTTAATGATTAACTCAAAATTATGCTGTCAAAAATGACCAGTTAAAATGATAAGTCAAAACCGTCTATGATGTACCAAACTTTTTTAATAAAAATAATTTTTATTTTTTAAAGCACAAATTAGCAAATTACTGCAAAAAGTGGTAGTGAAAATCAAAGTAGAACCCTAAGGTTATTTTCTCCGCAAAAATCATCTCTGGGTTTTCACCCTAACAAAAGTTAACATGGGGTCTAAAATTTAGCATAGGAATCCCTATGGCCACTTTTAAAAATGATGCACTGTATATGTCAATAATCACATTTATTTTATTATAACATATGTATACGACGAAAGCTTACAAAGCAAGTTCACAAAACACACCAACTATTTAAGGTGGACGCTACCTGAAGATGTTAGACATTCTTGTAGTTTAAGTTAGTTGGGCCTTTTATCTTTAAAGGTAAGAAACAAGTTGCAGTTTGTTTTATGTACAAACTTTTGAATTATTTCGTTGATGCTCCTGATGATTTAAGTCCAACTGAATTGTATGTCTCCGAGTATCAGGAAACAGATGTTTGAAACACAAGGTCGGAAAATGCATGTTTCCGAGTATGAGCGACATTGCGGAGTCCAGAGGCAGTCGCGCAATTTGTTTTAAAGATAAAAAATTATATTAAATTAATAAAAAAAAAACAACACTGCGACATAATGGACAAAAAATTAATGACATTAAAATTAACATAATTAACGTTAAATATTTATTAGGACTTTGCTCTTACTAAAAATAAAAAAACTGGTCAGAGGTTATTTCGACAGAACTTCCCTCGTTCCTGAAGTTTAATAAAACATTCAGCTTTTTCGAAAAATTATAAATTTATCAGAATTTAATTTTTTGGAAGAGAACCCCTCTAAGTTAAAATACAAATATGTATGCCATGTTAAAGTAAAAGTAAAGAATCCTGATACGCGTACCTATTGTTCATAAGAGTTTTTCTTTACAAAATTTTGTGATGACGTCATCAACATTTTTGCAAGGACACGTATATCAATGTGGGTAGGTGCAGTGTAATACTAATAATAATAGCATCGTATTCCTAAATTTTTGGGAAAATAAAACGAACCGTTTCTTATTTAATCAATAAAATAAATTGACTCATTCATTAATTTTTTTTGTGCTACCCTGTACAAGAAATTCAATGATAAATCACAAGTATAGACTCATCATATTTTGCACATTTCGATAGCCTTTACTCGACAAAATTTTGGGACGACGTCATCAATATTTTGGAGGGGATAAACAGAACTATTTTGATTAAAAATTTACCATATACTATAACTTTAAAATGTCTACAAGATTTCAAAAGATTCGATTTAGCAGTTTCTGATTTAATCAATAAAATAAATTAACTCATTCATTAATTTTCGTCACTTTGTGTAAGCAGTTCTAAAAATATGAATGTAATGATAAATTACAAATATAGATTCATTATATTTTGCACATTTTAAATAGGATTTATTTGACAAAATTTTGAAATGAGGTCATCAATTTGGGGGGGGGGGGGCTAAACAAATATATATTGATTAAAGTGTTTACGATTACTTTGAAACGTTTGCAAGATTTAAAAACATTTGGTTTTACAGTTCCTGATTTAATCAATAAAATAAATTGTCTCATTAATTAATTTTTTGAGTTACCTTGTATAAGCAATAATAAAAAGTATCAACCTTATGATATGATAAATAACAAGCTCATCATATTTTGCACATTTTAGACAGGAATTATTCGGGCAAAATTTTGAGATGACGTCATCAATTTTAGGTGGGTAAACAAATATATTTTGATTAAAATGTTTACGATTACATGTGCAAGATTTCAAAGCATTCAGTTTTGCAGATTCAAAAATAAATTTCAAAATGTTATACACAGTTGATTTTTTTTCCAAAAGTCTCCATGTCTCGGATAAAACTTAACACGGATTCATAAACTACATGTGTAGAAATATGTTATACAGTTTAAAACCAACGTACAATTTTGAGGTAGCGTCATCAAACCCGGTACGACTCGTGCGAGATGAAAATTCAGTTCAGATACGGGTTGCACTTCGTTTATTTTAGAATAGTATAACGCTGCTTTGTTGCATTCTGCTTTTAATTCCCGTTGCCATTTATATAGACGTTTTACTAATTGAGTTTTCGGTCATTTTATTTATGGAATAAGTTACGATTAAATTCGCAGATTATCGCCCGCTACTGATTCCCAACTATTCATGCGTCCCCACCTATAATCGTGACGTAGCCCGACAGAAATCTGCTCTCTAATGATTAAACAAAGTTTAGTTAGTGTTTTACCATCTACATGATAGACACATATAAAATTTGACAACAATCTGTCTGGTAGTTTCAGCGATTTATTTGTCTAACAAAAATTGACACAGAGGGCGGACAGACAGATAGACGGAAACGAGAGACTATTTAAAGTATTAGCTTCGCTAAGGATTTATGGTACTCAAGTCCATCGTGCAACTTGCCAGTTTCAGGTTTTCTCGGCGTTTCTTAAAAAGTGGCCTTCCGTTTCCGTCTGGCTGTCGTCTGTCTGTTTGTCTGTCTATCGGTCCATCGGTTTGTCTGTCTGTGTCAATTTTTATTAGATAGACAATCGGCAATCAAATTTGGCTAACCATGCCCACTAACAATTTGATGACAACATCTCAAAGGATTCTAGTTAAAAATGAGTTGGATGTTATACAATAATATACATTAAAATTTTCGCAAAAAAAAACACAAAATATAGTAACGGTAGAATAGTTGTTGCCCGCAGATCCGCTTGCGTGAATTTGACAATTAGGCAGAATATTTTTCAGACTCTGATATAGGGTTAAAGTAAATATTCAGTTCCCTCCTCTGGAAATTCGTCTAACTTAAAAACTCACGGGGCTCCCATACAAACTTTGACTCCCTATTTAACCCGTTTAGGCCTGGAATTTCCAAAAACCCTTTCTTAGTGAATGTCTGCATTACAAAAGGAACCCATTGTCCAAATTTCATGATTCTAACTTTAGCAGTTCAGGCTCTGCGTTGATGAATCAGTCAGTATGTCAGTCAGGACAAACACTTTTATAAGTATAGATTTTACCACTGACACAGGATATAAGCCAGCGTGGAGTGGACACTTAGTTTCGGGCATGTCGACATACGGTTGCAAGTTCGATGCCAAACTTGGCCGTTTCTTTTTTACTTCTCTTGCATTGATGATGTGCTGTGACTATACTATCTATGTTGATAACGTCATAACAAAATTTTGTTATGGAAAAACTCACTTGAAACGGCGGATACATGCTCCTTTATGCTTGCGGCCGCTAATGCTTGGTATTTGACCGTAGCAATCATCAAGTTCTTTAAAGGTACAAACATAAACACTCGAAGTTAAGCATGTTATTATTAAGAGGACATATTTTCCCGTTGGTTATATGCTTTGAATATATTTTACATTGTCCGTAGTTGTACGGACCGCGTCCCCTTGGAATTTGCGCCTCCACGGCATATTGGCGTTGGCACTTACTTTAATAATAATTTTTCAAAGAAGCGGGATTTATTGGACTGCTTCAGGCGCGAGAGAAGTTCTGTCGAAACAAATTTCGACCAATTTTTATTACAGGCATTTAACACAATAACTAAATAATAATTGATACTTTTCTTCTTTTCTAAAAGTATTTGTTTATATCTGTCACTAATTTTTGTACATCTTAAATTCCGGGTATATTCTCTGTATAAAATTCAACTTCTCATAATCATTATGTAAGTAAGATCTGAGCAGTTTGTAACATCAAAATATTGTTCTAGTACAGTTGAAAAAATACTACATACGTATTATAGTCGCTTTCTATATAACTTTATCCCAAACTTCTTAGAAATTTGTGCATGGCTTCATGTTACAATAATAACTGAAGGCTTAAAATATGTAAAGAGTAGAGGTATGAAACTTAAATAGTCATTAAGTTTGTTACATATTTAGTAGGTATAGAAACCAAGAAGTAAAAAGTTATTTGTCGTAATTACATTGACAAGATTTCGCTGTCTTTGTGTAAATTGAAATCGACTTTGTAAAGTTGTTAAATCTCTCGTTAGGATGCAACAGTAGCCGTGACGCTCGACCGCACTAGATATCTTTGTGGAAACGAGCAAGCACGTGACCTCAAGCAGGATCAAGAAAACAAACTTGTACTCACCCTGAAACTCCTTGCGCGCCGCGGAAACTGAGGTTACGATGTTGGCAACGTGACCCAACACTGTGGCGAAGAGCAGGAGACCGAACAACAGCTGGAAGATGACGAAGAGATACTCTCCTTTGTTCCTAGGCCTGGGCAAGTCCCCGATAGTCGTTAACGCTAACGTGCACCAGTAATAACTTTGCAAATAAGCTTTCACGTAGTCCGTACTTTCAGAGTCACTGTACACCCAGTTTTTAGAGCCGAAGCCGTCGTTCTTTAAAATGATATGGAACAGACAGCCGTTCCAGTGAAATATAACTAGGAGGTAGTGGATCAGGCTGGTGGATCTAAACAAGTTTGGATAGTTCGTGTGGCGTTCGGTACGATCCATGAACGCCCAAAAACGATATATTTTCACTAAACGGAACGAACGCAAAATTGAATTGAAACCTACGGATAAGTAGAGAAAGTCCAGAGGCAACAGGCACAAACAGTCTATATAGAATGTGGTGGAGTTCATGTAATGATGCCGCAACTTGGTCGAATCAGTTTGCAGCACTCCGTCTTCTAAATAGCCAGTCCGAAAATGGAACATGATGTCCACCAGGTAAAGGAAGTCTGCGAAGTAATCCAGACAAAACCACACTAGGATAGTGTTGGCTGAAAAAACGATTCATTATTACTACGGTCGCTTCATTCCACTTTCTCTAATTTAAATTAGTTTCATCACAACCTATAACATAAAATCAAAATGTTTATCGAAGGATCACGGTGGTAGAAGTAGAAGGATACTGTATTCTGGATAGCTCTATTTTAAGTTAAAATATTAGTGCTGTGTATACATGTTTCGACACTTTATTTACTACTTAATTAGCTAATACAATTTTAGGTCTACACAAAATTTATACTAGATATGGCTATAGATAATGCTGGGATTGTTTTTTGGTTTACCACGGATATTTCATTCACACTTTAATGAAAAAATATAGCACTAATTTTCAATATATTTTGTGCACTCAAGTAGGAGCACTTTAAAATTCTTGAAGATGTGCAAAATTCTGTTTTAATTATGTAAGTTCAGAATTGTATTTATCGTGTTGCTAAAGAAAAGTTTCCTCATATTTTAGAAATAGTGTATCAATGAATATAAAATTAAGAATTACGCTTAACTATACGAATTCTGTTTACTCTTAGAGAAAATGTAATAGTACAAAAGTTATTTTCTAAGCGCATGTATTAATTTTTAGCATTTCTGATATGTTTTTAACTATTGTAAAATAATATTGATTCAATCGAAATTATTACCTAACTTTAATTTCGTTAGCGAATGTTCTGTTTTGTTTTCGTTTCATAGCTTCTAAAACACGAATTAGTAAGTCTCCCGTCTCCTTCTGCCTGTCGTCTATGGAGGATTTTATTAGTAACCTCGCAAACTACTGGACTGATTGTTACGAAATTTTATAAATCTCACAATGTACAGAATAATATGCTGCGATACTTGCAATTTAGTAATCGTCCACATTCTTAAATTTGAGCTTCCAGGTTTTTGCAAAAAAGTCAATAATTTTACAAAAAAAAAAACAGCACTACAACCAACTTAGAATCACTTGAAGTCCATAGTGTGTTAGTTAATTTTGTGGTAGTTTAACTTAACAACACATTTTCAGGATCTCAGAATCACGAATCTGTACTTATTTTTGCTATACGCCGGCAAACAACTGACGTAGATTCCTTCGGCGCCTCCAACATTTTTACCAAAATTATAAAGTTGTCTAAATCGGCGGTGAAAAATCTTGTAAATTTGGTCAGAATCACAAGTTTGTGCTTATTTTTGCTGCATGATCAAAAACAACTGCAAAAATGCATATTAATATTCACCCGGCGCCTCCACCATTTTAGGAAAATATTAAAAAGGGTCAAATCGGCGCTTAAAGTTGTCCTTATCGGCGGCGAACAGCATCTCTCTTATCGTAAATTTTCCCAGGATTACGAATCTGTGCTTACTTTTGCTGCACCACCACAAACACTGTGAAAAATGCTGTGTTCAACCGGCGCCTCCAATTAAAAAAAATATATTAAAATTGGCCAAATCGACATATAAAATTTGATATATCGGCGCTAAAAGACGTTTTTATAATCGGAAATTCTCTCAGGTACACGAACCGGTGCTTATTTTTGCTGTATGTCCACAAACAACTAAAAAAAAAACACGCAGATTCGTCCGGCGCCTCCACCTTTTTTTTTTCAAATTAAATATGATGTGCTTCCAGGTGCAAAGTTATTTGGGCTTTAATAATGTATTTTGATTGTGATAATGGTTTATAAAGGATTAAAAAAATAATTGATGAATCATTTAATTTTATGGGCTAAATTATAAATAATTTACATAATTTTCCCAAAGTTGTATGAATATAGTACAATACAATACAGAAAAAAAGTAGTGTCACGTTTCATTATTTATCTGAAAAATTTAAGTTGTTTAATTATACTTCGAGAGCGAGGGAAGTTCTATGTAAATTACTTTAAGCCAGTTTTTAAACAATGATTCTAACGGGGTTGTCCTGCCTTTTATTAAATTGATTCAGATTTCAATATCTCTGTTACATGCATAAAATGTGTAAAAATTGAAACGATTGTTAAAATTCAGCTAAATAAAACCACATGAACATCACATTGTACCTTTTTTGATATCAGTTTAACGTTTTTTCTTAAACTGATCAATTGATGTACAAAATACAGGCAAAATCGTTCAAAGAAGTTACTTATTTATCGTATCTCCTATTTCCTCCAGATAAGAATTGAATTACGACATTTGTCACAATGTTGCAAAATTTTTGATTGGAAAGTTTCAAAAATGAGAATAAATCTTTCGTTTAAAACAGTTCCTTATTACGCTTAAATATTATTTAATTGTTTTGTTTATTAGCTGAAATTTTTGTATTTGCTGGTTCTTACTTTAAAAGAAAGGCGTTTTGTATTCCTGCAGTGCTTCTGTAGAAGAGAAAAACAACGTAATATTTATTCCAGAGAGTTTTGCCCAATTCTCTGTAAAAAAACATAGACATGGGAAATCAAGCTTAATGACAAGTTATACCTTTTTGTTATTTCTTCCGACGAGGGGTAGGAGGGAAGATGATTTAAATTTTTATAAAAATAATACCCGATTTATAGATAAAGCGAATCAAAGTTCTCAACGTATCACAGCAATGCAAGAACTCTTACCAGTGGACTTCCCACGAAGATTAGGATTTTGCAATTGGTTTGTGAATATGAACAACAGAAAATTGGCGCCAAAAATAATTTTTAGTGATGGCGTGTGGTTTCATCTCAATGGATACATAAACTCACAAAATATGGGAATTTGGAGTCATGGAAACTCAAATGAATTGGAAAAAATGGTATGTGGGCAGCAGTTACTCAAAGATGAATCATTGGACCACTAATCTTCCAAGGTAAACTATAAAAAATATCTATAACGGTTTTCTCTCATTTTTTTATTAGGTACACTAAATACTGCTAGATATCGGAATGAAATTTTAGAGCCCTTTGTCAACCAGTTATAAGATAATGAATTGTAGAACGGATCCTTTCAACAAGATGGAGGAGCTCCGATTCATTGTACAGTGAACAACTTAAATTTCTTAAGAAACTTCTTTGATTTCCGCATAATTAGTCGAAATACTGAAATCCCTTGGCGTCCTCGTTCCTGTGATTTGACAACTTGTGATTGTTTCTTGTGGCCTCATCTTAAAAACACAATTTTTCAAAAACGGCGGTTGCAAATCTGGAGGACTTACAGCAAAGATTTGGAAAAAATGCCTGTAGATTAATAACAATCCCATTATAATAGAAAATGTTTTCAGAAATTTTGAGAGGAGCGTTTTACGATGCACTGACGCAGAGGACAACATTTTCAACATTTATTGTAATATCAAAACTGTTTTTAATAAAATGTCATTCACTTGGCTTCTACAATCATCTCACTTTTTCATCTAATGAAATTAACGTTTTTCAGTAACTTTGCGTTTTTTGTTACTTTTTTCTATCATATAAAAAAAAACGTCAACTTCCAATTGAATATTCGTTATACTGTACCATGCCGAACATTTTTGGTTCAACTGTAATACCTCTTCAGCAATTTTTATGGTGGAGTTAATACAAATGACAGTTTTAATTGTTTGGTAGAACTACTTTTTTACTTTTAATTGATACAAGTTTCATAGTTTATCTATAATATATTTATTTGTTTTTGAGTGGATAAAATGCGTTTATTCACGTGTATCATACAAGATTTTTTCCAATTTCGCAAAATTTTTCAAAAAATTTATTGTTTAGGTAATCCATACATACATAAATATTAATTGTACTATTACTAATATGATCAACATTTAAAGAAGGTAAATTGCCTAAGCTGCCTGTACTTTCGTCACTTCAAATTCAAAGGATGTTCCTGGACTTTCATTAGGATTGTTTTACAGGAGGTGGACTATCAAGCGTTCTAAATTTTAGTTGAATATCCACACATCCATAGCAACGAAAATTTCAGTGGTAGTGCCAATTTTTAGATTTTTTACTTTATTCGTGTTGTCAATGACAATGTGAATAAAGTGTTGCTATAAACATTTTATTCATCCTTTCGATTAAACTATTGTTTTAATAGCGAGGTTTAACATACAAAATGAACATTTTATTAGTAGAAATTGGAAAAAATATTGAACAATACACGCAAGGTAACGGGTTTTTACTGGCTCCAGAAGATGACAGGCTCGCCTGCGGCTCGCCAGTCATATCCTTCTGTCCGCCAATAAAAACCCTTTCACTATGCTAATAATGTTAAATACTATTTCAATAATACAAATTTTACACAAAAAAATAAAATGAATATTTAATTGGGAAGTTATGATATAAGAAAGTGAGATCCCTTTTGTTAGTGTTTAACTGCTTAGTTATTACTTTTGTACTGATAGCTATGTTATAACATACGTGAATAATTTATATTTTCCTTCGAACAAAGTAGAAAAAGGTGATTATTTTCAATAAAAAATTACTGTAGGTATAGGTACACATACAGTGATTCATAGTGTGATTCTTTAATTTTAGTTTTACAAAGTGACGGGTTCTGGGTAATATAGAAAAACTAACCGCATCACTGAAAGTGATAATCCAAATTATTTAAATTTAATCACCAGCTCTTGAACGAGTGATACGTTGAGTTGCATTAAGTCTTTTGAATACTGCTGTGTCACACTTAACATTGTTTCACCACTAGTACTTATTGTTCGTCGTTGTTTCAATTTTTATGATTATGGGGAACACGAGAAAATTTTGCTACTTCCGAATCAAATAAATAGGATTGATTCCAAACTGGAAGATAGCTAACCTCTTATGATAATTGAAATTTCGTCGAAGATCTCGAACACTGGAAATTCTATAAAATATCACGTGCAGTTTTTTCGCAAAACTATATTTTAACAATGTCACCATAATAGAAACACTTTCAAAAATTAGGTCGTGGCGGTCTTGAACAATTTCAAAATTAAGATCCGATAATAACATGCACTAATTTTCCTCCTAACGGCAATATTGATTTACTTATGTATTAAGCGAAATGTAAATATGGTATAAAATTAAAATGTTATACATATCTGAAGTCGTTAAAACCGTGTGTAAAGTGTGTAAGAATGGCGATGAATAATTTTTGAAATCTTTTAAAAGCTTGTAGAAATAAAACACCACGATAAACTTACCATCAATTTCTCGAAAGGCAAAGCGGTAAATAATGACCCAAAAATTGTAAAGAAACGCTAAGGATACGACCATGGACCAATAGTAGCACAGTCTTCCCGCTGGATCAAAAACGAAAGACCAATTGGCAGACCCTGTACGTAACCTTGAGCTGTACGAGTCTCCTCTTCTAAATCCGTACCGGCTGGAACAGATAAGCCATTCTCAATGCAAAATGCAAAGTTTGGCAAGCAGTGTAAATCCTGCTACCCCGAATGCCAGCCATAAATTGCGCTTTAATGTGAAAGCCTAGCAAATCCCAGGTAGTTACTTACAATTTTATAGATATCATTAAACTTATATTCCACTTAGATTCATTTTAGAACAATATGGAAAGATTTCAGAAATTTATTACCGCGGCCTATCCGCAATCGAGAAAAAACGTTTCTAAAGTTTAAGCGTCAGCAAACGAAGAATAATTGAGGATAAAACTTACCTTTCTGTTCCGTTACAGCTGCTTGTTGAATTGAGATGATTGGTGGAAGGTGGATTAGTCCCGGCCGTGGAACCGGGAGCTGTCCTCCAAGCACCAAGGAGCGGCGCTTCCCCGGAACTGGCTAGGGTTACACTGGTAGGCAATTTCAATCGGCCTCTCAAGTCTTTTCTCCGAGCTTTTCTTGACAGATCCAATTCACTGGCGGCCGAACTAACATTCGCTGCTCTATTGATGTACGCCGTTGAGATGCTATCGTGAGACGATGAAAAGTAACGCTGTTGATGGTAGCTTTGAGGCTGACGGCTCTTTGACATTCCTAGTTTACAACCAACTAAGTCTGCAAATGAATAAAAAAACGCTTTCATTTAGTGGAGACGTTTGTCAAACGAGACAGACTTGTTGCAGTCTTTTACACTGACTCAAACAAAGAATTTAGGAGGGGGTGTGTCTCATTAGAAAGTCTTTTTCTTTGTACTATAATTTTCTTTGTAAGACTTTTTCTATTCACTTCTCTTTACGTTTAATTACGAAGTTACTGGATACTAAAAAGCGCCGTCTGTATATATTTTTTATTCTCGCCAAAGCTAAATGTCCCTAAAGTATGAAGCACGTTAAATATAATGAAATTCAAGTTGGAAATTTTAAAAAATTGTTGATGTTTATTTTTTTGGAGGTTTTGGAGGAACTCTTTAAATTTTATGTTTGTTGAGAGATGCATGTTATAACAACGTAAATTTAAAGTATAAAGCATAACATATTTTTTTACCTTTTATTGTTGTATAAAATAACAACTTTTTCGAAACATAATATTTTGTCAATGATGAAGAAAACTGATGACGTCGCCTCGAAAAATTATCAAATTGAATATTGAAAAACAAACTCCGACAGAAGTTATTATTAATATTATGATCATAACATATTTATTCCCATCAAACAGTATAATGTAATAACACTAATAACGTTCCGAAACTAATTCCAGCTGATAAACATGCCTGGAGAAGTATACGGTATTTGTTGTAGTTTAGAACCGAGGAAAATTTTACAGTTTTTTGAGTACATACAGTAATCGAATCCATCGGATGAGTTACCATTTTCATGTTTTCCCGACGTTTCATGACTCCTAGCGTACGAAAAAAATAATCTCCCGTTTCTCTCTGAAATCTGTGTTTACAAAATATTATGACTCTATACTTGTGGTTTATCACTCACTCATAGCTTCTAAAATTACTTATACAGGGTGAATCAATATATTGAATTGATTAAATCAAGAAGGACTCACTCCATTTTTTAGAAAATTTGGAAATACAGCGTACTGCTATTATTAGTATTACACTACATTTATCCAAATTGCTATGTGTCCTTGCGAAAAGGTTGATGACGTCATCACAAAATTTTATCATGGAAAAAGTTCACTTGAAACAAACGATTTTAGCTTTACTTTAACATTACACACATATCTTTATCCTAACTTATAAGGGCTATCATAAAAAAATGAAATTCGCAAAATCAAATCTTGTAAGTTTTCGAAAAATCTGGATTTTTTGTACTATACTTCAGAGGCGACGGAATTTCTGTTGAAATAACCTCCAACCAATTTTCCCAAATAATATATCAGCCGATTTATTTTATTCATTATGTCCAAAACGTCTATCCCGTGACGATATCAAAGTTGATGATATATTCATCTCTACCGGATAGTACGTAAATAACTTCATTCTATTTTAGAATCATAATCTTGTTTATAAGCACCCAAATGCGGGCATAAATTGGTTTTTATGGCATAAATCAGTCAAAAATTGCTAAGCAACTATTGATTATTCATTTACATTAATTAAATATTCAAACAAGGTTCGATATTCAACATTTTTGTTGAAGTTGAGAAAATATTTCATTAAATCATTCCCTGGCCGACTTATTCAAATTATTCTAAAATTTCTTTTAAATAAATGTTTTTCGCTTCTTCAGTTTGCCTTTTGAAAATCGGATTATTTAACAAATAAACAACGTGGTATACATAATAATATCAAAATAATAGCCACTATGTATTAAAGTTCGCATCGGCACGATTCACACAATCTTGCAGGAAATACTCAATATTTCCTTAAAAATATTTTAGAAACTAAAATAGAATAAAACGTTATATGTACCGCGGGCATAATTGTCGATTATGGCCCTCGGGAAATTAAAAGCCCTCCTCGTCGGGCTTTAAACATTCCCTCGTGCCATAATCTCCCTAATTATGCCCTCTATACATAAATAACTGTTATTGATTTTATATCAATTTTGCTTTTCTTTTTTATCAATAATTTTTTATAGTTTTACTGGCCCAAGCTTTGTAACCATGCAAACGTAATATTAGCATATATAGAGTTCACTGTTATATTTCCACACTTTGTGTTATATTAAAATATAGAATTTACGTTAAAAACAATTGACATTTAACAATAGGCAAACCACGTAGTGTGTTTGCCAAAATAAAATTCTAACATTAGCAAGTATATAGGTAAGTATAATTACAAATTTTTATGTTTTGTGTTCAAATATCGTGGAACTTATGAGTCTGTTGGTTTGGGTCACTTATACGACACATAACATAAAATTAAGTATGCCTGTGCATCATTTAAGACCTCTATATCAAAAGGTGGTCTTTTTCAACGGGTGCAAATTTTGTAGCCGTACTGCAAAAAAAATATCACAGCTGTATCAAATATAAATATCTTCAAATATAGGGTTAACTGGTTATTGTTAAAAAAAGTATAACTATTATAGTTTAAAAAAATTCCCTGATGACTAGCATTAACGTGACTTTAATTGTGTTTTTTTAAACATTATAATATATTATTTTTCTATGTCATTTTGTCAAACGGAATAATTATTATTGCAATATAGCACCTTCAAAAGACCAAATATATGGTTAGCATCGCCATCCCTATTCTACGTGATAGTGATAACACTGAACAGTAGAGAGTGTGCCATAGGATAAGAACCTGTTTTAAACATACACATACTACTGCCTTTGTTTTTAATATTGAGTGAGTATTTTTTTTTTGATATCAATTTTTGTGATTTTGAAATTTTATGACATACCTGATTGTGAAATCGAGATTTATGACACCAAATCAGTAACTGCCAACTGCCACCTTCTCAACCGTTTATTAGCCGTGGTCTTATCAAAACTGACAGGAACTGAGATCCTAGCATTGCAGTGCTACCAGTCATTCAGAATTGCCAACACAAAAATTTACTGCAATCATTAATAGTCAGCCGGTATTTCAAGTGAACAAATGGTCACTTTAAACACTGTATTAGACAATATCAGTGTTTCAAATCTACCAAACATTTACTAAATGAGTTGTATATGCTCTCTAAATGTGTGAATTTTCGTTGTCTATAATATACGGAAACATAAATAAATTTCCCACCAACTTGCCTGAAAAAGTTTTTTAATCTCTTGGTGAGAGAAAAATAAATCGTGTTTAGTTGAACTGTTCCTGGTTTTCTTCTGGAAAAAGAAAATTTTCACATACGTTTTAAAGTAATGTAACAACAACGGAGATTTGTCGCGTTAACTTGAAGATACAGTTAAGAAATGTTCCTAAGTGCATTGAATTGTAATCTGTGATTATTTCTATCGTATGAGATAAAAACTGTTTCATATTATATTTTTTTAGAAAAATTATTCCGATGCTATAAAACTCATATGTGTATTTTTGAAAAATATTGAAACTTTTATGCAAATTCTTTTCTGTTCTTTCGTTCTATTAGAACAACTGTTTGTTGAACTATTTTTAGAAACAATCATCAATTTTTCAAGACGTAGGAAGATTTTTGGAATTTGCATATTTCTTTGAGTTATATGACTCATATGTATCTAAAAATTTGAAGCAATTAAGTGAATGAGTTTTATTACCCCAAATCGTTGAACAATTTAGGGTTTTAATCAAAAATTTGTTACTCACTGATTTACTACAAAAAATTAGAAACTGTTGTTTAAGAAAACAATTTATTTGAAGGAATAAAAATTTTGTCAGCAAAATATTACAATTAAATTAAAACTATTCTTAAAATGATTGCTTTAGATAAGGTCTATTTTCATTTCAACAGTAATGACGGATATTAATATCTACTTAATTTTATACTAAAGCATACGCTAAATTATGATATAGGTACCATGACCAAATTGATCAAAAATAAACGAAAAAGGAAAGAAAGGATTAATTAACCAATAAACAACATAAGATAGTGTTTATTACAAAAAAAATTGAATGAAGTAAATAAAATTTCATGAAAAATATGCTTCCGTTTAAAATTTTGGTTAAAACTATTCTGTATTCTAAATTTAACACAGTAATGCTAGTAAACACTGGTAAGATAATAGCATAGTTATATTTATATTATCTTTATAAGCAGCGTGTATGTACCTGTTCAAGTTTAGAATTTCCTGGCACAAATATCATTATCTTTTATCTTCTCAAGCAACTTACAAGGTAAAATCAAACAAGTAACACAGATTATTTCGTAGAAATTTAAGTTTTTCACTAATACTAACTCAAACACAAATCGACATTCGAAACTGAAAATACCTTTAAAACTTTCAACACATACAGCAGCAGCATACAGGAGGCAGCACACTACAACAGTTTACAATTCGTTTTGCAGATGGTTTGTACTTAGATCCAGTGTTGGTTGGTTTTAATATGTATATTAAAAAAAAAATCACCGTCTTATAGACAGATCTCTACGCTACTTTAGTGTTACTTTTTTATATTTAACGTATTCAATTTATAATTGGGTATGTTTGTATTTTCTTTTGTTCTTCTTTGCTTTCAAGCTCACATGTCGGTGTATATTTACATTTTTTCAGCAGAAAATTGAACAGTTCATTTTATTTTAATGATTACATGTAACGGATATTTATTTTTCTATTTTAAAAACTATCCACCTACCTAATAGACTCTGCCGGGAAACAGATTTGAGGACCCGATGGACACTTTCTGAACTTGTTTTATGGGGGGCACCGGTGGTAGCTGTCGATTGTACGGGTGAACTTACATTCAAACACGTTCCACTACTGCTTAAACGTTCTCCTACCATGCATCCTCCAGTTGTGATAATACCTGAAATAAAAATTACCTAAAGGTAACTGGAAGAATTGCGTTTATACGAGAAAATATAGATGAAGATTAAGATCCAAAAATTGTGGGAACCGTAACATGTTTAATCGACAGACGAAATATATACATTGCACACGTTTTACGTTTTTTATTTATTCTTCTGAATGACCATTATCAACTACTAAAATTATGGTAGCAGATGATTACAATAAAAATGTTTGTAATTGCAAGAAATCAAATATTTTCTAATATCTTACATCTAAAAGTAATAAAGAATGTATAATAGTCAATCTTATCGAGAGAAATTTTGCTACCGTCGTAAATCAAAAATGTAACCCAACTAACTATGGCGCGTCAACATAATGTAACGTTAGGGAAAGCAAATTACCAAACATTTGATAAATCTGAAGCTATTTATTATTCTGTGCTGAATTTCTTCAGTTAAATTTTCTAACCCGTCTACGGTCTTATAGCGTAAAGGACTTGAAAGACAGTAATAAATAATGAACGTGAAATAAATATTACTGTTTTTTATGTTTTTATTTAAATTGCTGAAAGAAATCTTCGATGGCCGTAAATATGCTAATTAAAAAAAAATCTCTATTTTTCTATTTCATTATATGAATCAAGATTGAGTAGGTACTCTTGCTAATAATTTTTATTGTAGCACAAAATGCTATCGTCGCTCTTTCAATCCACACTTTAAAGGCGACAAAACAAGACAACCGCTTTCGTATAATATTAGAACCAAACAATTAACTCTACACAAATGACGTTTTGCAAAATGATAAAGGCCGACTTTATTAATGTGTTCAGGTTTTGCGAGTTTCGCCACAATAAATTCAGTCTCAAGTCTTTGCTGAATTACCCTTCCATATTGGACAATTATAATATTTAAGGAACTAACCGTAACTGTCGAAATAATTTTATTAATAAATTTTGAACCGACCACTAATTATTTAGCTGATAACGTTTTCATTAAATGAAATGCTTACTACTAAATGCCTGAAATTCCGTGTACTGAAATTACATCAGTTAATGACATACATATGTTACAACCAAAGTCTAAAGTAAGTTAGATCATATGAATGTAGCCTTGATGGAAAATGTTAAAATATTGGAGCACTTTACTTAGACCAAGAAATTCAAAATTGTCAGAGCAACTGGATAAAGTAGATTTGAGCCATTTTGATATGGGGACAGTCATAGAAGAAATGATTAAAATTTCAAAAAACCATTAACGTTATCTTACCCTTTTTACCTTTTGAAAACAACGTTTCGTCTAGCAGAATTTTGCTTTGCTAGTTGATTTGCGGTAGTTGTGTAGAAAATTTTAGGGCTATCGCGTAGAAAACAAAGTGAAAAATGCCAAGACGTCGTGAGCTGGTTCATTTTCATCAAATACAGGGAATAGCTGGCTCTCGAGATCTTGTGATTTTACTCCTGTAGTCTTTTTTGGGGCCTTGTTTAAAGAACACTATATTTTATAACGAACATCTAGCAATAAATGAAGAAGGACTTAAGGTTAAGAATAATAGGAGATGTCAACGACACAAACAATAATGCAAATATGTTGAGGAAGTGATCGATGGAATTAAACGAAAAGCTCACTTCTGTTTACAGCGAAATGAGCAACATTTTTAGCATTTACTACTGTAATTTAATCTTATTTATTTAATAAAGTTAATTAATCTTGTATCAATTTTCCGTGTAACTTCGCACTACTTATTTTATTGTATAATTATTATCATTAAAACTAAAAAACACGCTTTTATTTTATATTGTCATCCAAAATATTCATTTTTGTTCCCACGAGTAGCGGACAATTTAACGGTAAATGTCACACACGACTTTTATCACTACTGTCAAAAGTACGATTGCTCTAAATTTTGTGACATTATGGCAAAATTTAGAGAGCATAGTAGACCGCCACGGTCGTACCCGAACTGCGGTTCAAATTTTGCTCAAATATCAGGTAGTTAGGTATAGTGTATTTCAGAACTCCATTCCCTTAAGTCATAAACCGTCCGAAATGTTGACGGATTCCAGGGTTTCTCAACCGTCGGTCGGTTGAGAGATGATAATTGTCCAAAATCACTGCCACAATGGAACAAACGATTTGTTTTGTTATATTAATTGTAAATAGTAAATCAATAAGTTACCTTTAAAAAAATTGCTATCTCAGTTCCTCTTGTACATGTAAATGCAGTACTTCAAAAATTTTAACGTCACTGCTTTAAGCGCTGAGTGAATCGCTATACAACCATGCTGAAAGTACAGTATGGTTTTCTTACTTCAACTTGTTTGCCCTAAACTAAAAGACAAGGACACTCTTAGATTCAACGCTTACCTGCGAAAAGAAGGGAACAGATTGTTTTTTAACAAAAGAAGAGGTTTGTGGCTTAGACGAACGAAGTTATGAAATATACTATACATGGATACTTCTGACCGAATTGTGGCTCGTTCTTGAACTGCAGAGGTTCACTGGGATTATCAAATAAAAAATAATTAAATTTTTGGAAATAATTTTGTAAAATGTATCAGCTACGAATTAGAAAGTGAGTATCGTAATTTTAGTTTATTAGATTGTGTAAGAATCTACAAGCAGTACAATATATTCTTTTGCCTTTTTTTCTTAGTATGTGTAGTTTTTTTTTCACAAAAATAAACATGTTTAAAATGGTAAATTTGTATAGGGAAATATCGATTTTGGAGTTACGCTCCGCCCCTTGGTTTGACAACGAAAGAAAAATTTATTTAAATTGAGATTGAGGAAGGTATGGGTGGGGCTTAATCTTTCGTTTAATTTTTTTCTTAAGAATAACACTTTACAGAAAAACATTTTTAATTTCTGGTAGAGAAATAAGGATTTTGCAATTAAGCTCACGACGAATAAAAAAAATCATCATAATTGAGATAGTGTGGGTGAGCGGGGCTTATATTTTGCCTTTTTTTTAATATACGTAGTCATCTTTTCACAACCGGAAACTTACGGCATGTTTAAAATGGTAAATTTGTATAAAGGAATATCGATTTTGCAATTAGGCTCCGCCCCTCGGTTTGATAACGAATGAAAAATGTATTACTATTGACATAGGGCGGGTGGGCGGGGCTTATATTTTGCGTTTTTTTTTTTAATATACGTAGTCATCTTTTCACAACGAGAAAAATTTAAGAAATTATGTCTTTCGGAACTGCATCACGAGCAATAACATCTAACATCAATACAATTTTGTGTATCAACGGTTCGTTTTTTACACGTAACAGGATCGAAATGTAAACAAAGTGATTTTACTGACAGTAAATTTGAAAATAGATACACATAGTATGTTCATATTATTTACTAATAGTATATTAAAGAACGAGTTTCATAAGGCAAATATTGAGGCACGAATCCAAGTTTATAGAACGAGCGGCGAAGCCGCGAGTTATATAAAGGATGAGTGCCTCAATGGCCTTATGAACGAGTTATTTATACTATTTTTTCTACCGCACACGTTTTTTCCCAAAATTTAATTGAAATTTGCATTTTTTTTAATCTGGGGACTTTTGTCGTGGTTGGTGATGGGTTGGTCTGACACTAACCACGAAATATTTGAGGTTCGAATTTTCACAACAACAATTGTAATTCGAATCAATTCGAGTTTTTGTAATTTAAAATTGGTTAAAATGTCTTGCGAAGAAGTTACGCGTCCGGAAACGTGGGAAATTTTAAGTTTACATTTGCCACTGACATTCACCTGACGTTTCTCGTCATGGCTACCAATCTTACCGATCTAAATTACACCAGATCTATTAAAGAACGCCTTTCCGCTATTAACGAACTGCTGTGACGTCATTTGCGTGCGTTAATAGCTCTATTAGAAAACCAAAAAACGTGGGCGGTAGAAAATTTTTTATTAAGTTCTGGATTCAGAAAGTTGAGTTTTAAATAACAGTGTCCATCACTTACATACCTGATTAAAACAAGACACCAACTAAGATTTTTACCGTAGTTCGTTCAGGGATTATAAGGTAGTTATAAAATTTTGCACTGTAGTTTGGTCACGGATCAGAAATGCACCGCAATTCGGACAGACTAGATCCACTGCTCGATAGTACCAAATTATTGTATTGTTATCCAATTTACACACCGTTGCAAAGTTTCAAATCGATAGGATAATTAGAAGTAGGAAGTAGGTTAAAATGGACTTCCTAGATTTGTTTACATATATGCTATAATATTTATTTTGTAAAAAGTGTCCACCATTTGATAATACGTGCATACTCGTCATATCATGACTTTGTGAGCGACATACCTATTCGACTTAAAGTAAGATATTCAAAAGCAAGTTAATTTTAACATAAACTCAAACGGTACGATAAATAGCAACAAAACAATTCACAAAACTTAAATATTAGTAAAATATAATAAGTGAATTACAAGATCTCTTTTGACCCAAATATCCCAATTTTTGTCTGTTTGTATTGATGTTTACTTGAGGGATTTTCGTAATTTTATTATTACAACTTATACACTGAAGGAACTTTTCTCTCTTGAAGGACTGAAGGACCATCTTATACCTTTGACTTGAAAAACAGTAAAACAGAAATTTTCTTTTTAAATTTCAGTTTATGAATACACCTTCCTGAAGCTTTTAAATAACTATTTTACTAGTTTAAGTCAATTTGAGTAAGTCAGGCAAGTGAAACAGTTGCCTTCTACGTGACGCAAAGTTAGTTTCCTAGATAAGATTATTCCATATTTATGATTGGTGTGCAAAACTAACTGCCGTTCCCAAATTGGAATTGGAGAATAAAAATTAAATCAACAAGAAATGTAAAGAAAGTTAAACTGCATTAAAATTGATCTGCATCAAAAATTTACAGATGGTGAATGTTTAATCTTAAATAATAATAATGGTAATTGCACTTTTAAAAGCTGCAAATTTTAAATAATTGAAAAGTTCACACTTTTTAAATATAGATAAAGATATAATAATATATTTTTTTTGTAGTAACTT